ATAAAGATACAGGATGCCCTGGTGAGTTTGAATTTCAGACACACAAAAAATTCTGTTTGAGATCTCCTGAAAAGTTACTGTTTTCTTTTCTGAAATTCAAAGTGTCTGGGTGTCCTTGGCTGTCGTACCCAGGGACTTCTGATACACAGGTGGAAAACCACCCTTCAGAGACAAAGAAGGCCTGTAGTTTCTGCTCATTCATGCCCAGCTCGGAGATGGTTGCTAAGTCATGGGCAGGCAGGGGCAGCTCAGTTGTGCAGGGAAGCTTTTTCTAATCTTTTGTAAACTGCTCACGTTTTACAACTGTCTTTAAAACTATTTTTCCAGTTTAAATGTGGTGAACATGTCTTCAAGCAAACTTAGGTGTAAAACCATATTAAATACAGAAGGTGATACAAAGGATTTGACACTACATTCATTTGGAATTTAGATTTCAAACATATTATATAAAATATAATTAATGTCACTTTTGAAGTGAGTTATGTTCAAATTTAAGGACAGACAGATTAAGTTTCACCCTGAAGCTTTCTCTTTTACCTAAGAAAGTCTTCTTTTTACTTCAGCATTTTTTTGTCTTTTTTCTGAGTCCAGAGAAATTCAAAGTAAAGCACGTGCGCCCTCAGTCATCTGTGAATTCCTGTGGAAGATGATTTTGTGATTTGTTCGAATGCGTAATGAGGGCTTGGAAGCCTTCTAACCAGGGAAGCACCTCCCCAGCGGCGACCAGGGGTGTGAACGCTGACATCCCCACAGGGGCTTCAGGCGTTCCTGCCTTGGGAGACCCCCATCCTCGCCCATATCCCTGGGGCTGCCTCTCATGACCTGAGTTTGCTCTCACCTGATTTAAGTGGCATTTAACTCTGAGTGAAATTTCTGCAGACTTCAGGACAGCATCTTCTGAGAGTTGATCCTTGGTCCAAAGTAAAATTATGAGCATTTTTGTGGGTTTCAAAGAAAAGCCGTCCATAGCGGTCCTGCTGGGCCGGATGCGGGCGCAGCTGTGACTGCAGTGGAGGAGGAGCGATGGGGAGCTCATCAGTGCCATTGTCCTCGTGAGCAGAGATGGTCCCGAATCTGCGCGGCTGCAGTCCTCTCATTAAGGGGGCGGCTGAGATGAAGCCTGGAGTGTGCTTTCTGCAGAAGCACACTTCACAGAGGGCAGGCTTTGTGGGTGCTCCTTCAGCGAGCTGAACTCACCCAGCATCTCCTGGTGCATCCAGAGGTAGCCGCCACGTGTCATGCCTGGAGACGCGGTCACGCCCCCTGAGGTCATCACCCTGACTCCGCAGCTCCATGTCCATCAGGAGGATGCGTGGTCAGGAGACATTTCCACCAGCAGAACCCTTGTCCTGACCCTACTCTCCCCCATCTCCATCTTTAAACAGACCAACAGTAGGGAGGGACCCTGGAGGGGCGGAACCGAGACGTCCTCGCTGGCCTTGCGGCCTCACTCGGCTCAGCAGCCGTGCGGGAGGTCGGCAGGTGTCCACTGGGGAAAAGCGCACAGCCTGAGAGCCGTGAGGCCAGGTCATTCCCAAGGACTGTGGCCGGGACCACAGCCTCCCACCAGCTCGAGGAACCACTTCCAGGAGCTGGGGTTCTGGCCAGCATATGTGCGACCCTGGCAAAGGGTCAGTGTGGCCAAGCCCACACCGGGTGGAGGCTTTCCTGGTCACAGGAGCGGATGTCTTATCTGATGGTTTTAGTGCTTTTCTAAGAAGGGGTGAGGCAAGAATTTGGGTTTTAAAGTCTCCTAAAAGTATCTATCTGAAGGCCTGTTAATGAGTTTTCCTGGAGCACAGAGCACCTCCTCCCTGAACCCCTTTCAGGGGGTACTGAAGGCCAGCGGCTGCAGGGGCTTGCGGCTCAGTCCTCGTGGAGCCTGATGGCCAGTGACCTTGTGTAACTGGCAGAGGCTCTGAGCCGGGCCAGGGGTGTGAGTGAACTCAGTGTGGGGTGGATCAGGTGAAGCAAGGACAAGTGGGTGGAGCACAGGTGGGCTGAGCCAGGCTTGGCTGAAGAGGGGCCCCACCCCAGGGAGGACCAGGGACAGGTGGGTGTGATGAGGGTCTGGGGTCCCCAGTCAGACTTGGAACCTGAATTTAATCGCAAAACTTCAAGTGCTGCTGCCCTCAGCTCACGTGCCATGTTGTCCCAGCCACAATGGGAGGCGGGTGTGGTTCTCCCCAGGATGCCCTGCTGCGGGGGAGGGGGGCATGTGTCACAGCCACTTTGGGGCTCTGCAGGGGAGGTGAGGGCAGCAGGAGAAGGGGGAGCAGACACCCCACCACAGCGCCTCTTACCCCGGGGCTCCCAGGCTGCCCACAGCATCCTTCCTCGTCCTGGGAATTCTGTGCAGACTGCATTTGAAAACACCTCTCAGACCCTCGATTCTGCAGGGACTGCGGGGGAGTCACACTGCAATCAGGGCGGTAGCTTGGTAACCCCGTCTGCCGGGAAGCGCAGCGGCCCAGCGGTCCTGGGCCATCCTGACTTACCGAGACTGGAAGGACAGCTGCGCCTCACAGTCACGTCCAGGGATCACACCCGGGGGTGGGTGGTGGTGACTGGTGGACGCACACGGGGTGGGGGGCCCACCGTGCTGGACGCCTGGCGACGGCAGGGACAGCACCACATGCGTGGAGCTCGGGCGAGGACCCGGGCCGGGAGCAGGCCTTCTCCCCTCCCCGTGTCCCCGGTGACGCCACCCCCTCGCTGGTCCTCGGTCCTCACTGCAGCGCTGATGCCCTGACACCTGGAGCACATGTGTAAGGCCTGACCCCTGACCCCTCAGGAGGGGCTCCAGAGGGAGGGAGGGGGGCCCACCCCCACCCCCACCCCCACCCCGTGCCCACCCCGTGCCCACCCCGCCCCGCCCCGCCCCGCACCCCGCCCTCTGGCCCCCTGCGCACGGGCTATATGGTGCCCCAGTCAGGGCTCTGGGCTGGCCTGAGTGTTGAGAACGCAGGGCCTGAGCTGAGGGGACAAAGCCAGCGGTGAGGCAGGGCTGGACCGCTGATGACGCCAACGCAGCTCTGAGGCCAGGCCATAGAGCCAGAAGCAGAGGCTTCGAGGGTGTTTGCCCTCGGCCTGCGCTCCGCATGTGCGGCTGGAGGGTTTTCCCGAGGCTCCCTTCACCGTGACTGGAGCAGGGAGGAGCCACTGGTCACATCCGCGTCACGACCCAGGGCTGACCTTTGCACACTGCGGGTCGTTCCTCGTCCTCCAGTGATGAGCCCTACCTGCCCTGGTGGGAGCCCGGGGGTGGTTGGTACATGCTGGGCGCTGTCTGTCCGTCCACATCCGCTGGGCGTTTTGTCATTGTGTGATGTCAGCTCATAGTTCAAGTTCATACTGTGAAAACTCGTCCCTTTGTTTCTGTGCTTGTGTGTGTTGAAGGAGAACAAATGAGATCTGAATCTAAGGTTCCTTGTTTCAGTTTATTCTCCTTTATTCTATGTGACCCACCTCATGTAGAAGGTTTTCAAGTTAATAACACTGACCACGTGAACGTGGTCTCCATGGCAACTGTATTTAATTAGCACTCCACATCCTATTGCATTATGCTTCTAAACAAATGAAATGTGGCATCTTCAGTTTCATATTATCCTTAATGTGGTCACCTGACCAGCCAGGTTTGTCATTGATGGCTTATTAGCAGGAAAACAGGACTTCAGATGTGCAGAAAGTCCTCCTAGCCATTACAAATGGGGCATACTGAATTATGTGAAGTATTTCAAATTAGCTCTCTTGCAAAGTACTTACCCCAATCCAGACAGATATTTATGAGACATGTAGAAACGTATAAGGCTTGTACTTTAAAAGCAGTGCCTGGGAGACCCCATAAGATGAAAGACCACCATGATTAACCTGAGACTTGTGTGAGCACCTTTCACAGCCAGACCTCCCACTTTCTCCTTTAGCGTCCTATATACTCACTGCAAGTGGATGCTGCCTTTTTGCTGGTTTGAAGATGGTGAAAATGTCACTGAAGTGATCATAGTGTCCTAAAACAAAGCCTCCTTTGACTGTAATGTATAGCTGTATTCAGGATTGATAGAAGGATGTAATTACCAGAATGTTGGACACCTGCATGAACGCAGGTCTGAATATGTAATTCTATTTAGAGTCATATTTGCAGAAATACGGGCCCAAATGATGGTACATATATGAACCTTACCTGAAGGACTGGGGTCCAGACTGGGGTCTGGACTCTGGCTGTCTGTACCCACTCCCCCTGGCGTGGGGCAGATGTCCCTGGGCCACCCAGCAGCTCACAAGGAGCCCAGAGCAGCCAGCAGACGGAGGCACCCAGCTCACTGAGCGAGCCCAGTTCAGACAGCCACTGGCATCTCTGGGTCCACCCTGGGTCCAGCCGGACAAACAGCCAGGGCTTTCAGTTCTTTGGCTTCGCTGTCCATCTGGGAAGGGAGGGCCAGGGAGAGATGACCCCTGAGGCCTTGTATATCACATGCTAAGATGCAGCGTCCATTTCTACACTGACCACAGAGCTGACAGCGGAAAATCAATGCCAGGACCTGGGATGTTCTCCCAACAGAAGGAAATGAAATATGGACAAAAGTGACCTAAGATGAACTAGTATTCACAAGAGAACAGTGACTGCAGGCATCCAGTATGGCAGAATAGGCCATGGGTAATACCAGGCTTCCAGATGACAGAGGCGCCTCCTCAGGGCTGTGCAGGGCTCACCAGGGCTCACCGGCCCACGTGGGCTGGGCAGCTGGGTTTTCAGAATCCTGTCCACAGGCAGAGAACCTGCAGGAAGCCGGGGCACAGCCGAGACCCCTTGCACGGCCCCCAGAGTGGGCGCCTGCCACCGTGGGGCTGTCGTCAGAAAAGCGCCGGCTCCTGCACTTTCGGCCCCCGATGCCAGCGCGGGTCAGGGGCGTCTGCATGGGTGGGGAAGCACGTCCTGTGCTGAGAGTCTTCGGGGGGGAGCGTGGAGCTGCACTGAACTGTGACTGTCTCTCTCTTTGCAGAGGAGGAGGGCGCGGACCTGGCCCAGCCGGGCATCAGCTTCCCGGGGCCAGCCGAGGACGACCCAGGTAGAGTACCCTGCGCTGGGCACTGCTCGGGATGCCAGCACCCTGCCCACAAAGGGCTTCACATGTAGTTACCCTCAGGGCTCCTAGTCAGAACCAAGTAGATGTGGTGAGAGCTTTTCCTAAATAGCAGTTTGTGAACACCGTGGACACTCTGGGTGAGAACACACTTGCTCCAGATCATCACAGATGAATTACTAAATAGTTATTACTGTTAATTATTAAGGCCTCAGTAACATAATTGAGACATGTCTACATGTGTAGAATGAGACCCCTCTCCTTTCCTCCTCCTTCACTAAAACCCTCAGTCAATCTGAGGGAGGGAAAAGCTGTTTTATTTGCAGTTTTTTCAGGTAACTGTTACTTGACATTAAACAGCTGAATTCTCCAGGCGAGGCCAGCTCCACTGTGGTTTGGATGCTGAGTGCAATTATGTGCTTGCTTCCAAATTACTGTCATACTCTATTTTCCCCAGTGCTCATTAAAATCACGTGCAAATTTTATTTTTATGCTCATGGACACAGTGAAGCTGGAGCTAGACTCGGCCATCACCATTTGACATGGAGTCGGGCTTACATAAAACGGGGCAAGTGCTCCTGCTGGAAATGAGGAGTGTTGGATAATTTCAGCGTCAAATGGTTGAGTGGCATCCACATGAAACTTAGCTGAGAATACATGCCCTCTCCACAGCCCAGGGCTCCTGGCCGCCCACCTAACGAGGTTATTCACACGAAGGACTTGCAGCTGCCTCCTCGGCTTCTCACGTCCGTCTGCCATGGCTTCACTGAGGCCAGCTTCTGCATCATAAGTCTGCTTTCTGTTTAAATTTGAATTTTTCTTAATTTGTATCCGATCTTTAGCCAGTGATATGTTTCTTATTGATTAGCTTCAAGAATATTGAAATCACAGGAGTTCTTTTGTGTATAGCTGTGTTTTCTTTAAAAGGAAATTAGAACCAGAAAAAGCTTGCTTTTCAGTGTAAAATTGTGAAACCAGGGGCAGTCCTGAAGGAATGACAGTATGTTACCGGCTATGATTGAACTAGAAATTGATTTCCAACTGGCCAGTTTAACCAAGCCTTTCTCTATCCGGAAATTGGCCAATGCAATTATTTATTGTAAAAACTCTTTCTCAGAAGGAGTTCTGGCTGTGCTGTTGGAATGAATCCGCATATGGTGGCTTGGGTTTCACTCTGTGAAGCTTCTGGATAAGAGGGTGACTCATGGGCCGTCTGTCTCCTTAGAATTGACGGTAACTCACCTGCGTTTGTCCTGGGTCTAAGACGGCTCGGCATCACGACCGTGTCTGTGGCACCCGCCCTTTTCTATGGCGGGACTTGGCGCCCTGAGGCTACATCTCCACATCCGAGGCGGGGAGCCCTGGGGGCTGGCGCCGGGGCTGCGTCCACCCAGGAGCTGACCTTCTGGGCGGACGCGCGGTGCGTGGGGTGCTGTGTCCCCTGGGCCAGCCCAGCCCGAGCACGGGGGCCTGGCTTTCATTGTTGGGGAGAAGCCACCTCACTGTTAGGGACAGAAGGTGCTTAGTGGGCCATCTCTGCAGTCTGGATGTGAGGGGAGGGTTGGCGCCTCCAGTGAGTGCAACAGGCGTGCTTCGAAGGACTTGGGGAGAGACCAGCCGGAGGACTGCTGACTTGGCCACAGAGTCACTCTGGGAATGATACCCCGTCCCCACGCGTGGTCACCACGGGGGCCCCACTAGCCGTCGGGCAGCGCAGGAGAGAGCCACGTGGCCGCTGGACCGCCCATGGCTCTGGGCAGCGGTGTGCCCACAGGAGCGGGGCCCAAGGGTCTCGAGCAGCCCGCCCGCCGAAACCCGAGGGCGCGACCCGCCTCTCGCAGTCAGCATCACCTGGGGGCATGTGGGCACCGTTTCCGGTGGCTTGTTGTCTGTAAGCAGTCCCTAGTGACTCCATCTCATGCCTCAGGTCAGGGACACGGCGTAGCATAGAGAGTGTGCAAGCATCATTTATAGAAGGTTCCTGAAAGGAAAGGAGGAAAGAACACAGGGAGAAAGGAAGGTGAGAAGGTCTGAGTTATGTTCCCAGTGTTGCTACAGTAAGTAACTGGAAGCAGACCTCGTCATTTTAGACATTTTCCAAACAAACTGAGTTTTCCAGTTTCCTCATCTCTAAATCAAGAGGGTGAAAATGGACAAGTTTTTAAAGGTTCTTCTGAGCCTCTGATTCTACCATGTTGCATTAAAATTTAAAACACTTCATAATGATGTGAACACTGTTGCAGTGAAATGAGTCACCACCATTTACAAAACTCAGAGAGACGTTTTACTGCCTGCTCGAGGTTAAAGGTATGGAACAGTGGAGGGACTCTGCCTCTGGTCCCATCCAAGATACTGCTTCTTTTTCTTAACTGGCCTCAATTTCAAAAGCGCCAAGGAAAGGTGTATGACATTCACTGAAAACCCTTAAATTTTCTTTAGTGACAGATGAGTGAAGTCTTCTTTTTGGAGATGAGACCCACACTCCTTGCCTTTAGCCATTTCAGGGCTCAGACATTCTCTCTGAAGGGTGTTGTGTGTGAAAAGTAACTTTATGATGGGCAAAATGGCCATGAAAGAGAGGAAGATGAAGGTTTCTATGAAATTAATCTGAAGTCAGTGATAAAAGCGCATTAATGCCACATATTCAAAGTGACTACAAGGGAAGAGAAAACCCACTTTTTCCAGAAGAAGCATTTCGAGAAAAGGCTCTCAGATGCAGTGAAATTAAATTGCCTGCCAGTGATTTTTGTGACATTGGCTCAGTTATAGGAGATGTGATTTCTAATAATGGCTTTTCTTCATTCCCATGAATGCTATGTTTAAGTCGGTTGTGATGAGTTGGTGATTTATAAGCATTTATGAGGACTGTTCTGTTGAACCAAATTTTGCACCAGCAAGTCAATTACAAACTGAAATGAGAAAAAAAGGTGGACGAAATGATCAATCAAAGAATGTTAGGCAGATATTATGTGAGACAAAACAAGGAGAAAACGGACATACTGTGCAACTTTAAAAACACCTGAATATAAAATAATAGCTGCCAATACCTAAAGCCTTCTTCAGGATGGGTGCAGGTTGTGAAAATATTTTAATAAAGGACATTACGTGGCATTGTTAAGGTCTGCACACCATGTAACTGTGTGACTGTCTTATAGTAATCTGATACATAACTCATTTCAAAAGAACTGCCCTTTTAGAACTCCTTTTTGCATCCTTTTATAATTGCCCCTTGCTGTACGTATAGAGGTATAACTCTGCAACTTGAGTAGCATCCACACTTAATTCCTTCAGGTAAATTTCTAGAAGTTTCTAGAAACAGTGGACATGGTGCCTCGCCACATTGTGTCTGGACGGTGACATGGCATCCACTTACTGCATCCTTCCGTCCTGCCTCCTCAGAGCACCCCCCCTTGCCCATGTCCACTGCAGAGCCCCCAAGGGGATCCCCACACCCCAGAGAATGTGACATCCATCCGGGGTCCCTGTCACAAGCTGCAGAAAAGGAAAGGTCACATGCCAGCTGTTAAGAGGACAGTCCAAAACTTAATTTCTGCACAAATCAAAACCAATCAAAGCTTGTTTCTGTGAAATCAGGAGGCTGCGTTCTTCATCTGCACTCCTGGAGTGTGCACCCAAGCTCTGCCCCGAGCATCAGTGGTTAACTTACCTGGTTCCCGAGCCTGGATGCTGCAAGGTGAATTACGGCACCTTCTGCTGGCTGATTCCCTTCTTGAACAGTAAATCTATCGATTCATTCCCGCCTCTGAGACTGCGTGTGTGGCTTTGTCTTACTCCATTACAGCTGCTGTTAAAAAAAAAAAAAAGTGCCACAGACTGGGGGCTTGTAAAAAGCAGGCATCTATTTCTCCAGCTCTGGAGGCCGGAGGCCAGGGCAGAGTGCAGGCAGAGGCGGAATCAGTGAGGACCTGCTTGCTGGCTCACGGAGGGCTCTGCTCACTGTGTCCTCCCGTGGAGGCGGGGCTGGGGCTCCCCGGGGTCTCTGCTGTCAGGCGTTGGTCCTCCCACCCCTGTGACCTCATCACCTCCCGAAGGCCCCCCTCCTGACACCACGACTTTGGAGTTTAAGGGAACAGCAGACTTCCTTCTTTCACGCAGCAGTCGCTCGGGATCTTGTGCCCTGAATAGCGTGCCACCACACACAGCCGGTGGGATGCCTGACTCTGCAGCCCCCACGTGGCCGAGGAGGAGTCGGAAAGAAGCCAGTGTCTCACCACTGTGTGTACCAGAGAAACGAACTCAGTCCTGCAAGGGGCATTGATGGCATTCTCTGAAACGCTGCAGACCCGGGGCCAGAGAGCCTGCTGAGGAAGGCGGCTTCCGTCACCGTCTCAGGGACAAGCCCGTTTCCAGACACGGAGGAGCCACAAGGCCATTCCTGCCGCCAAACCCCTGAGAGCCGAGGGGCCGAGGGGACCATGCCTTGGGACAGGCCCCTTTCCCGGGCTCGGGGCTGCAGACAGAGAGGGCTGCGTGGGCACCAGGTTGCCCCTGAACTTGGAAGACAGGCCCCAGCTCCCTGACAGAGGTCTGGCTTCCTCAGAGTTATTCTAGAAATCAACTTCCATGGCTCCTAACATCATCTGCAAACACTGAAAGCGGGGATTCCAAGACTGCTTTTTGATTTTGAGGATTGGTGTGTATGTAAGGGTTTGCCTCTTCAACCGCCTGTGACTCAGAAGTACACATCCGTTCAGACCCAAGTCAGATGTCACCCGGATGTGTGTCTGTCTTGTCACGTGGACAGATGCTTAGGTAGAAATAGGGCTGCGTTCTGATCTGTTTGGGGATCGCCCCTGTGAAGACTCGCGTCTGGACGTAGAGAGTGAGTGGAAGTGAGCAATCAGCTGGCAGGGGTGAGGCCAGGCTTCTGGAGGAGCTCTGTAGTTTGTGACAATGAGAAGGAGGAGATGCACGGGGGCTGTGAGAAGTTTCACCAATGCTCAGCGGTCGTCACACCCCGTCTT